AGGAAAGCCCGGTGGCTTCAATGGTAGTCTGTGTAGCTACACAATTCCTCCTCAACCTGATTCTAAAAAGCTGTGGGCGAAGGTGTTCAAGTGGACAAGTACCAAAAATCAGACCAGAACAAACCTTAACTATTTTAAATAGAATTTTAATTGCGGTACGTATAATGTTATCTACACTGACCTGTTGTCATTTCATTAGAGTTACGTGTACAAGTGATTATACCAACTATTTCTTTCTTTCAAAATACCTCAAATGCAAAATCTGCTGATAATCCAATTGTTATTTTGTTTAGAGAGACATTAAAATCTGACAAAAATATTTGATTGAAAGGAAATCACTAGTTATGCTCTGGGAAGGTATCTAAAATGTGTGTCTTTGAAGGGCCCTTGAATCCCACAACATAAGAAACCATACCCGTAATCACTTATTTTTAAGACGGACTAGCGTCCTTGTGCATGCAATTTTAACTACACATTGCTGTTTGAAACAGTGCGTTCTCAATTGCAAGTAGTCTTCCAGAACTTTTAAGGGGGTAAACTCAAAGGCAAAAAGTCTACTAGGTGTAAGACAAGCATCATCCATTTCTGCTCCCAAGAGAAAATTGATCTGGCTCAAAAGTGCCTCACGACTTCTCATAAAGCTCGTTTAGAATGAGCAGTGAGGGAAATCGGACCACATGGAACTGAATCAGAAAGTTAAAGTGAAAAGTTTGAGAGAGATTATTGGCCCCGCTTGCGCAGGGCACACAAAAAATTAGAGTATAGACTCATCAAGTGTCCCCCTCCACGGAAATCTTTAGTAAAAGGCGAAAGATTTATTCGTTTTGAAGGGAGACCAGAGTACCGGTTAGAGGGAAACCGAGTGCAACTGATGTGTGCGGCGTTCGGGGTACATACCGCGCTAAGAGCGGTGAAGCAATTGATCGGCCGCCATCTCTCGGGAGGCTACCACACCACTACGTCTCCCGTGGGCAAGGGGTATAGACGGGGCTGATGGCATGCACTCCCAGCCAGAGAGTTATGATTAGTTTTAGATGCACAAAACGGGAAGAATTGCATTGCAATAAAACTGAATTGACAGGTTTCCGTAGACAATGACTCGACATATTGTTGGTTCCTTTCGTTTGAGGGAGAATTATATTCGAGAATATTTCCACAAAATAAAATATATGCACTGTACGGGGTATACATTGAAGTCAACATCTACATCTCCCACTAAATGATTAATGAGATCACAATATAAATAAACCAAGACGTCCAGAAAAGAAAAAGCAATACACAAATGACTACAATTACATACGTAAATAAAAGAGAGAAATAACTGCGGAGGAAAAAAATGGACAGAGCAGTGGATAATGAGTGGCGATCAAAGCACTCACCATCACCAGCGAGAGTTCGTCTTGTCGCAGCCTTGCAGCCAGGCAGGCTTGCCGTTCTTGTTCTGCAGGAAGCGGCGCCGACTACGTTCCTGGCGGTCGCGCCGGGCGGCGAACATCACCGACAGGTTCTGCTCGATCCTGGCCCTCTCCTCGGCGTCGGTGGCCCGGAAGCGCTCCGCGTTGAGCAGCATGGCCTCGACGTCCCTCTCGGCCACCCGCGCCTCGTCCGGGCTGAGCGTCAGCGTCCGGGAGTGGCCGGAGCTCGTCTCCTCGCAGGAGACGGTGAGCAGGCCCTCGGCGTCCAGCTCGAACGTCACCAGCACCCGCACCTGCAGGTCGCTGGGCGGCACGTCTATTTTGAACTGCTTGTTGAGGTAGTAGTTGTCTCGCACCAGCGGGCGCTCGCCCTGGTACACCTGAGGAGTGAACGAGGGAGTGCGTTAGTGGATGAGCTCGCCCATGTGCGATCTTGTATAGTTGCGACAGGTGCAGCAGACACCCACCTTGACAGTGACACAGCGCTGGTTGGGGCGCGCGGTGTAGAAGGTCTCCGTCCTCCTGCAGGGTATGGGCGTGTTCCTGGGGATGATCGGGGAGAAGCGCCCGCCGACCATGTCGGTGCCGAGCGAGAGCGGCGTCACGTCCTTGAGCTGGACGAGGTTGTTGAGGAAGGGGTCGCGATCCAGGTTGGCCGCGTGCATGGCCGCGCCGTACGCCACGGCCTCGTCCGGGTTGATGGACTGGCGCAGCTCGCGGCCGCCGAACATGTCCGAGAGCATGGCGCGCACCTTGGGGATGCGGGTGGAGCCGCCCACCAGCACCACCTCGTCGATGTCGCAGCGGTCCACCTGCGGTCACGCGAGCGCGGGCGTCGTCACAGCGGCGTGTTGCACCATCAGCCTCACAGACAGGGAGTAGCACAAGCTCTTACCTTAGACTCGACGAGAATGTCCTCGGCTATCTTCATGGCCAGCTTGAAGAGGTCTGCGCACAGCTCCTCAAAGAGGGCCCTGGAAATTGTGCTCCGGAACCCCAAATCCAGCTCGGCAAAGTAGACTGACAGAGGAACTTCAGGCATGGAAGAAAGCTTTCGCTTTGCCAACTCACAGGCCCTCCGAAGCTCTTGGATGGAAAGTTCGTTGAGCCTTGCATTGTGTTTGAGGCGCAGCTCCTGCAAAATAGAGCGGGAAAAGTGAGGAGGTGCTTGAACTGCAATACTAATTTTTATTTGTTGCCCCACATTCACAAATTTTATATTATGCACACAAGCATCTACTGAACAAATGGAAGGCTGGTAAAAGATAAACAATGTTCCCAGAGTAGTAAAATCATCGAGACAAAATATTAAGTCAGAGGGTTAATTTATACTGAATCTTCAAGGGGCTCGGCTCAGGTAAAACAGTGATTGGAACCTTAAACTATTTTTTAAAATCTCAGCGCTTGAATAGTTAGTCGTAGTTGTTAATTTCTTTTTTAAAGCCAGTTGTTAAAATATGCCAATACTGATATGGAGATGAATGCTCACCTTGGTGAAGTGCTCCATGAGCCGGACATCAAAGTCTTGCCCGCCCAGGTGCGGGTCTCCGCCCGACGCCACGACGGTGAAGTCGCTGCCGTTCACCGTCACCACGCTGACGTCGAACGTCCCGCCGCCCAGGTCGAAGATGAAGATGGTCTTGGTCTTCATCTCCATGCTGGACTTCTTGTCCAGGCCGTACGCCAGAGCCGCCGCCGTGGCCTCGTTGATCATGCTCGCCACCTCTAGGCCGGCTATCTTACCTGTCATCAGGGGCAGGACACGAAGGACAGCAGGGGTGAGCACGGCACCGGGGGAGGGTCTCAGGGGACATTATGGATAATTAAATGAATAGTTGCAGACACTGGATAAGGAAGCACTTTGTTTGACGCGACCCACAGCCTCATCCTAGCGGCCCTCGTGTGAGAGGGCCGCTACCTCATCCCCATACAGAACCTGCTAGCTTGGTGGCCTGCCGCTGCCGCTCGTTGAAGTACGCGGGGACGGTGATGACGGCCCTCGTCACCGGCTCCCCGAGCATGGCCTCCGCCGTGTCGCGCATGCTGCGCAGCACCAGGGCAGAGATCTGCGAGAGAGGCGGAGCACGTCACCGGCGGCAAACGCGACAATCCTGAACGAGGTGAAGGAAGGGAGAGTGGTTGGGGGGAGGGGGGTTGTGGCTGAGGGGGTGAGAG